TCGAGGTCCAGCTCCTAATGCAGATCATCATCAACCGAATAGCTGTCATCAGCGAGAACCAGAGGCTCCTCACTTGGATAAAATGGGGTACCGTCGCCATCATCACCTCCATCAACGTCATGGTCTTCTGCATCTGGATCCCTGCCCACCTTGACCCGCCGCTCAGCCAAACCTTTGTCAGCATCAACGAGATCTGGGACCGCCTCTCCAAGGTCCTGATCTTGATCATCGATGCCGGCCTCAACTACTACTTCTTGAGGGTGGTTCAGAAGCGTCTGCTGGATCACTATGGTCTCGTCAAATATAAGCCGCTCGTCAGTTTCAACGCCAAGCTGATGGTTGTGTCTATTCTCATGGATGTAAGTTCCAGATGCTTCTATATTCTTCATTATGGCAGACTGCCGTTGAACTATTTCGAACAGTGCTAATCTGTGCTCAGGTCATGCTCATCGGCCTCATGTCACTCCCCAATCAAGTCGTCTACATCCAATTCCACCCCGTCGCCTACATGGTCAAGCTCAACATCGAGATGTCCATGGCCTCGCTCATTACGCGCCTCGCCCGCGGCCAGAACAACGACGTCAACATGAACTCGCTCTCGGAGACGGACCAGCGCCGCCAGTACGGCACGCAGAGCCACCACGACAACAGCCGCAGCCACGAGCGCACCGGCAACAACAACAACAAGGCATTCCCGAGGTCAGCGGTGCGATCGATGGGCGGTGACGAGGAGCAGCAGTACCGCACCTCCACGATCAAGGGCATCAAGCGCACGTTCGACGTCAACGTCACCATTGACGAGCCGGGCCCCAATGATAACGTGGCCAAAGGGCTGGCGGTCGGGTTCGGCAGCATGGAGGACGAGATGTCTCTCACCCACAACCCGGGCCACCCGTCCGCTGGCACGATCAAGGAGATGGACGGGCGCAGCTCTTCTGCTAGCACAAAGTCGAGGCTAGACTGAGCAGGATGTGAGAGTAGCGTTTTCTCCAGGGGTACAGCCCGGATAAGTTGATCAGTGTAACTCTGGTTTGGCAATCTTGCTATCAGCTCTAAGTTAGTTTATTTGATACATATGACAGAATGATTTCGTTCCAGACAAGGAATATCAAAAAGAAACCATGGAAAATAGGTGTCAGCCTTAGCCCTCCAATTGAATACTGCAATTGACTTAGTTGGCCAAGAACGAGACAGCCTCATTGAATAGGAATCCTTTCACTTCTTTATCAAGGCTGTGTAATCATGTTAAAGTCCTTTCTTCAATGGTGTAAATGTGAAAAGATCCCGAGGTGAAGTAACCCAAGGTGAGTAACCTGTATGCGAATGACACGCCTAGTCAGACCCCAGATACAGGACAGTACCCTGTTGCGTAGGTTAGGCTTTTTGCTTTATTCTGACATGTTTTCAGGCTTCGTTGTTCATTTTTAACGAGTATTCTACGTGTTGGATCATTCAGGACGCACGTCACGTTCCCAGCCGGTAGGGCACATGATTTTCTCAGCTGTGTGTTCCCAACATAGCTTCCACTGTACAACCTAGAAGACTCGAAGTTTTCCACCGCACAAAGACAAAATGTTTCATCTATATCGTTCTGTCCGCCTGTTCCGTACCTGATATTCTATAACTGCGATGCTCTCCATTAGAGAAAGAGATTTTAAGCCTTAAAACAGTTTATATGATCTGTATATATCCACGATTTGGATCCAGTTACGACACGAATACCTCTGGGAATGACAGCCCGACATGCAGCAATTTTAACAACCACTGCCTGAACTTCAGATGCTATCAATTCCATTATTTGCTTCAACCTCTTACCCCAGATGTGCGAGATACGTTACTCATGTCATGAGGCGTGTGGACACAAGGATCAGCAGGGTACACCTAAGCAGAGTGAGGACCCTTATCTATGTGGAAGAGCAATCAGGAACAGAAAGGTTTGTTCTCCCATCATCCACGATGGGAAGGTCACGCGCACTGGTGATGAGGCGGCCTGTGACAAGCCCGACTGCAAGGACTACCTCGACAGATTCAACGAGCTGGACGAGGAATACATCAACTACTCGGTGCTCCTGCGCGATGAGAACATGCACCCGGACCTGATAAAGAAGCTGGCCGAGCTCCGGGAGGCGTTCATCGCCGAGTTCCACCACCGCATCCGGACGGAGGGCGGCCGGCACCAGGGCACGCTGAAGATGCGCGTGGAGCAGGACACGCAGTTCAAGGAGATCGTCGACGTGGTCAGGACGCTCTCGTGCACGTACGACGGCGTGGCCGCGGAGCAGAGGCTGCCGGAGATCGAGCTTGCCCTCCTGCTGTGCCTCTCTGAGTTCATCTTCCTCGTGCTGCTGGACAACCCGTGGTGGTGGAGGAGGAGCAAGGCGGCCGCCATCGCCGATCTTCTCAAAGAATGCCTGCTGGACACCCTCTCGAGCAGGACGAACCTCGAGAGGGAGGTCATCCCGATCCTCCTGGATCGCCATGATAAGCTCCGCAGCGAGGCAGAGTTCCACACGCCGCTGCTGGAATACTTCAAGCAGCAGCTCGTGCACGGGCTGGAGAGCAGTGACGATGAGAATGGTGGGGGCAACGCTGAGGGCAGTGATGATGATGATGATGATGATGATGACGACGATGACGACGAGGACAACAACGACAAAGATAATGATCCAGGTGACAAGAATGACGAATTTGAGAATACTCGCAATTTGATGGCTTCTATGATGGAATCTTTAGGTCTTTAAATCTACTTTACCATGGCATGGAAAAGGGGAAAGACATTTTTCTTGTGATAGAATTTAACTAAACATGTTTACCATAAGAAAGTGGCTACGAGTGGCCCATCCTGAGCCAATGCTTCTGATGCAACAATACAATCTTTACCACGAAACTGGAAGATTACCTACATCAGAGGAGTCGTCGCTAAATTAACAAGGAATGAAGTTGGACGGGGGCAAAACCTATGGGGAAAGCGTTCTACTTCTCTCAGCTTGTTTAATCCTGATTCACACACACATAAAAGTATATTGCGTTATTAATGGGCTGCCGCTAGGATAAAAGAAAAAGCTTCCACGACTATCTATTCTAAACCTGATGCGTAAGTGGGAGCTCACGATCTTCGACTCCCTTGCAAGATGCTTCTCGAAGGTTATGTCAGATTCTTGCCCAGTAAGTTCATTGTTTTCACAAAGAAATACACAATAAATTAGGACAAATATGTCTGCCAGAGGCTAACTTGTCTCACGGATGGATGAGGAAGGTGGTCAAGGCAGTTCTGCGGGCTCGCATTCTAACGGCAATGCACATTTTGATGCAGCTGATGATACGCAGAAACGAGAGAACTTACTGCAGTATGCTGGACTCCAATACTCTGACCAAAAAGAACTTGCAGTGTCGTTACCTCACGAGACTCTACCCGGTATCATGGTCGGCGGTCCGCCTGTCGCCCTACCTCAGAAACCCGGTATCATTATTAAACGTGTTCCTTCAGCTACGAGTGGTGATTACTCGAGACTTCCCCCACTTAGCATCCCGCCTCGGTTCAAGGGTATTATTTCGTTTGGAAGTCCTTTTGAGCCCATTAAGATCCCTGAACGCTTGCGTGGCCACGTCTTTATTGATCCCACTATGTCGTCAATGTCGGACCTTCAAAAGAGGCAAAAAGCAATTTCGGCTTTGATGGACGATTATCTCAAAGAGGAGGAGGAGCAGGAGGACGAGGGGGACGAGGAGGAGGACGAGGAGTGATGCAGTCGCCCTACGGTTCGGAGCGTCGCATGAGACTACCTGATTTCGCCATCTACCTCCGCAAATTAGGAGCGTAGCAGAGTATCGTCCACGTTCGTTCCATGCATGTCAAGGCTTCGCTCTGAGCTTGGGGAGGGTTGTTTTTTTCTTTTCTTTTTGGCTTTCCTACATTATTATTTTCTGAACTGTCTTCGTTCTTGTTTTCCAATTTCCACAGTCACATTGTCTTTCCTTATTTTTTATTCTCCGATTTGTCTTCGCTCTTGTTTGTTCATTTCCGCTTTGCATTTCCTATGTCGAACGAATTCTTCCCTGTATTTTCCTAGTTGGACGTGTGCTTTTGGACCATTATTAATTCACAACAAGATAGAAAACGGCTGTGTCGTAGGACTAACCACCCAAAAAAATATTTTATTTATATCTTTTGTTGGTTCACTGTTGGCTATTGTGATATTCCAGCATCTGACACATGGTGCATAGTTCCAATTCCTATGCAAATCAAAATCGCCTCATTGATCTGAAGAACTACCGGCCACTGTGGAAAGATGGATGAGGACTTTGAGACAGAAAATGCAATGCAACCGTGACCTTCAAGGCACATTAGTTTGTACAATAATTTTCAAGGATCTAAGTTGGCGCGGGCGGTAATTCAGTTCGCATTCTGTCTGTGGCTTCAAAGTTTGGCTGGGCTCGGTGGTCGGGTGGACAATTTCTCCTCCCGGACTTCTCGTATCCAGCTATTAAGTCAAATTCATTTCTACCTCATTACCAAATCCAGCTATCAAGTCCAGGAGGAGAGAATACCGTTGGTTCGCTATGAATACAACCTACAATATTCTGAAGACTTATCTGCAACACACTGAAGTTTGAATCACATCATTTAGCATGCGATATCGTTCACGGTATTAGGTGAGAGGATCATGCTAGCACTAAAGACTCTCTCTATATTTTAAATTTGTTAGGAGGCAGATCTGTAATTAAAAATATTGGTGCCAGTGTTGACGGAGCAGACTACTCATCATTTGCACTTTGCTTTTACTCAATTACCGTTGAATTGAACCGGCGGCTTGGCCGAATATCCTTTTGGGGACGGGGTGGAGAGTATGCCGCTGTTCGGCCAATATCAGCCGACAGTTAGCCGATATCTAGCCGAAGATAGGCCGTGGCATTGCTGGGTCCCCACTATTCCCTACATATTTGGTGAGCAAATATAGATATGTTTAAACTAATCTTTTTCAACAAACAGTGTTAACTGAGGCGCTTTGGCGGAGTGGTTAACGCGATGCCCTGCTATTGTCGCGAATAGTGAAGGCATTTCCCTCGGGAGCGCAGGTTCGAATCCTGCAGGCGTCGCTCTCTTAACTTTTTGACCTCCATTTGGCTCTTTCCTCGATCATCAACCTAATTAGTTCAAATCTTGCAGTCGCTATCTTTTTTTTTTTTTTTTTTTTCCTTTTGTCGAGTTCTGTAGAACTGACTCGATATTTCTCATAGGATCAATCATTTTTTGGGTTCAATTCCTGTTGATTATGCTCCCGTTGCCTTCGTTTCCCCCCGATGCCATCATTAACCAGGTATCCTTGAGTGTCGTTTAAAGTTTCTGGCACCGAGTCCCCAGCTGGGCGCTAGGCCAAGACGGGCCAAGACCCTCAGTGGGTAGCCCGGACGCGCCTGGGCCACGCGAAAAGTGTCCTGAAAGACATGGAGCAACTGCTGCAGTCAGAACAGGGGGTGGCTTTCCGAGCTGTGATGCCCTCAACCCGATCCCCATCCAGTCCCTGACACAACGCAGACAAGCAACGTGTAGTCACTCACCACCCCTTTCACGTCACTCCTTTGTTTCCTCTTTATTTCATCCCCTTAACTTGATCGATCGCTTCGCTTCGGTCGATTTTAATACATCCTCGCGTCTCAGCCATCGACGTAGCCTCACCCCCATCCGCAACCTTTCCCCGACCCGCCGTCACGATGACCCGCGCACAGCAGACCATCTCCATCGCCCTCCTGGCCTCTTCCGTAAGGCATCGCCGGCTTCTTACTCCGCAGCACTGGCAGCGGGATTGGTGTACCCTGCCAGTGTCGTCAACTAAATACCCGTCGCAGATCTTGGGGCTAACTTGAGCACTTGATGATATAGTTCTACCTGGCCCTCTTCCTCCAGCTGCTCCCGCTACCCGCGTTCGTCCAAACTGAGATCGTCCCTGTTGTACGTTTTCAATTTTTCTGTGCTCTCTTCCTCCATAACCTCCATCCAAGCCGCCGGAATGGAGTAGGTTTTCTACGAAAGTGAGTGATCGATCTTGCTAACATTTTTCGTTCCAGCTCCCCTTCTGGGCTCTCGTCTCCTTTGGCGCCTTCCTCCTATTCCGTCTGGGCTGGAACGTCATGACCTTCAACGACGTCCCCGAGGCTCACAAAGAGATCATGGCCGAGATCGAGCTCGCCAAGGTGGACCTGCGCAAGCTCGGCGTCGACGTCGACTAAATGGAGAGAGAAAAGAATTGGAGAGAGGAGCAACCAGCAACTTATGAGTCGGGATGTCGGCATCATTATTCAAACCAGTGCTGCGTAAGAGAAGGGGAAGGACAAGGGAAAACCCGCATGCGCCTGCCCACCGACATCGATCCCCTCCGCTTGCTGAGTTCTACGGTTGGAGTAATAAGCTGCGCTACAATATACAGCGTGCAAGGAGAAAGAAAAAAAAAGAAAGAATCCAAAATGGATGGAGGTTGGAAAATGGCAAAACATCTCAGGAGCTTAGGATGGCCAACGGTAGAATTCCGAACAAACCAGATGACGCTGCTGCCAGCTGTATGTAACCATAATGGGAAAATACGTTTGAAACGGGAGACCGAATTGCATTGTCTCTGACGGCATTGAAGAAAGTAGTAGTTTTTCCAAACAGACCCCTCTAGCTGGAGCCCTGCATGTTCATCCACCCATCCTCTTGTGATGAAGCCATCTATTATCTCCTCCGGAGAATTCTGGCACTACACCATGCTCGATATACTGACAATGCCATGTCATGCAGTGCCTGTATTGCAGTAGACAGGCCATGGTAGGTGGGTAGCAGATCTAGCTGCCCATGCTCATTTACTATTTATTATACACTACTTCTTGCCGTCTCCCACCAGCAGTGCGACAACGGTCTTGAGGGCGTCCATCGGCTCGTTGCCCCCTTGTATCAGCTGGTCAAACAGCTCTGGTATCCCGCTGATAATGCCCTTGTTATCGTGATGATGCCCTGCAGGATTAGCATAGTGGTTAGTACGAAAGTAATGGATTCCCTTCCCAAAATAAGGAAACAATAGACCAGAGTGCGCTTACATTTGCCAGGAACCTGCACCAATACGCCAATGCGGCTCTTGCCCTCCCCAGTCCAGTCGAAGTCGATCTTCCACTCGACTCGCACGCCCACATCCCCCGTGCCGTCTGAGCTCAGATCGACCTCGGAACTGGTCTGTCCGAGGAACGGGAGCAGCTCCGCCTTGCTGATGTTCCGCTGTGCTGCTGCCCTATTATTCCCATCATCATCACTGTCGTCATCATCATCATCTTCTTCCTCGCGCGCAGCAGCTGCTGCAGGCCGCCCGGCCCGTCCACGCCTCCTGCTCTTGCGCATCTTCTGGACGGACGCGAGAACGCGCCGCCGGTCCCCGAGCTCGACGCCGACGGCGCGCCAGAACCGCGCGCGCCGGCTCGCGAGGCGCGTCCACTCGGCCATGGCCCAGGTCAGCACGCCGATGTTCCGCTTGAGCGCGCTGGGGTTGATGCCTGCCGCTCCATCGATAATCCTGGCGATGAAAGGTCGCAGCTCTGGCGCGGAGATGGGGTCCAGGCTGGGCACTGCGAGCTCAGAGATGGAGAGTGTCTTGGTGTTGACGAGCATCTCGACGCGCGCAGCAAAGAGACCCAGCGGCGAGGACAACACGGATATGCTGTACTTCTGCATCAGCGCGTCGCTGCTGCTGCTGCTGCTAGTTTGGTCTTCATCGGGGGCATTGCGCGGCAGGAGACTCATCGTGGATGTGAAAACCAGGGGGGTGAAAAGCTGCAAGTACGGGCGCTCCTCGTTAACAGTCATGGCAATCGGGTGGTGTGAGACAGGTGGTGGTGGTGAGGCCTCTTTATCCTCCGCGGGTGGCTGGAACGGATCGGGAATCGACAAAGGCGCCCCTCCGAACGGCAGGAAAGACATTGGGTCCAGGGCTGCTTCCAGCCAAGCTTGAGCTGGATCAGGCTCCGGATCCTTTTCAGGAGGCAGCGCATGTCGGCGTAGGACCTCGAGCAGTGACTCCTTGTCCTGAACTTCCGGTGCCGCTGACTTGCTGCGTCGGCGAGAACTGTGCTGGTGAAGGTTGCTAGTCTCTCTCCGCGCGACTTCGAGATCAGCCTCGAGCTTCGCAACCTCGGCCAATAAAGAGTCACGCAGAGCTGTCTTTTCCGAAAATTGATCGATTTCTGGAACGCGTCGGGCAGGGTGAGGCTTGTTCGATGTTCCCTTGCTTTCATCCTGCTTTTTGCCCGGTCTCGACTTGTCGCGCCATAACGGCTGCTTCCCTTTCCCCTTCCTCGTCGGTGCGGGTCCTTTCGGACGGAAGGCAAGAGTAGGAGGCGGAGCTTTCGCAACCGTCTCAAAATCTTGAGGTCGCAGCGGCGGTTGTTTTAGCGGCGAGCTTCCACTCCTCAACTGTTCGGCAAGAGCCCTACTCCTACGAGGTCTTCTTGACGGGGAGTTGTGGATCCCAGCGGGTGAGGTGTTGATCGAGGAGGGGTCAGACATGCCTTTCTCGACTGGCGTCGGCGGTAGATCAGGCTCCTCAGGTTGGTGGGCGGGCAGGACGCCGCGCGGTGGCGAGCGGCGCAGAGCACGGCCCTTGAACGGACCTAGGAGCTCCTCCTCTTGGGCGGACGGCGGGGGTAGTGGTCGCGGGGAGGGCTTGTTGAGCGATCGCCGCGGCCTCGCACTCATCCCTCCCAATGACCGACGTGCGGCACCCTGTGATGCGCTCTGCGGCTCCTCCTCTGCGTTCGGGTCTGCATCAGGTTCCGAGGCTGGCGGGTTTGCGGAGGCGCCTCTTTGTGACCGCGTGCTTCGGGATGGGCCGTCACTCGCATCGCTGGACGCCTGGGGCGCGCTGGCTTGACTTCGCGATCGTGCAGCATCGCGCCTCTCTAAAATCTCGGGGTTCGCGCGCGCGAGGCTTGCTCTGGTTGGCGAGACGAAGGATGGGCGCTGGAGCCTCGGGGAGCGCCGCCGTGGTCCATCTGACGATCCGGAAGCGGGATCTGATCCGGAGACGGCGACGTTTGTGGTGGGTGATATTTTGCGCCGCTTAGGAGCAGACGTCTCCATGATATTTGGATTTCGTGTAGGGCGATATCTCGGAAGGGTCGACTATCAGCGGCGAAGCATGCCCGAGTTCGTAGCTATGGCCCACCGCTGGGGAGCGCATCTGTTGATGCGGGAATGTATACTTAGAAATGCAACGCGCCAATAGACCAAGAAGCTAATTGGCAACCACCAAAAAAGAAAACAGTTATTGAAAATTACTGAATGCTGAACCAGACCGAGTGTGTCGTGCGTCCCTGGAGAGAAAGAAACCGGATCAATTCTTCAATATCTCCTGCCAACGTGGGGTGGTGTTTTGCTGCAAGAGCTACACAAGATACTTTTCTAGGTATGGGTCGCGTCCTACCCGGCGGGTCTCAACCTGTAGCGCGTCGGGGTAAATAGTACGTACTTTCTGTAGTAGGAGCATTGAACACGGGAAGAAAATGTGGCGGCCCACTCCCCCTCGGTGTGGCTGTTCTACCCGTTCGTTCAACTGGCATCCATATCTGTGGCTGTGCTTCAACGGGGGATCTGCCACTGTTGATCAATGGCCTAGAGAGCTTGTGGTAGAATGACGTTCTTTACTAGCGCTTCCCGACTAAACCCCGGCCATTCTCGGGAAGTCGCCCTTTTTTCCAACTCATTACTAAACCCGCCGATAGAGGTTAAAAAAAAACAGCGCTCTGCACGGCAAACGTCACCAATCCACTCTCCCTCTATAACTTCTACGCCTGCTCCCCCTGTCTGGTCTTCTGCCTCTCCCTCTTTTGTCATTCTGTCAACTTTGCACATCACACAACCATGTCGCCAGCTACGACGCGCTCCCTCCTCAGGAGTGCAACGAGGTTCACGAGCGTCGCCGCTCGCCGCCCCATGTCCTCAGCGAAGCCTATCAACACCGGCTCTGAGCAGGCCCACCCCATCGGCCCCTTCTACGAGGCGATCCTGACCTCTACTCTTCACCCCACCCCCAAGACCAAGCCTGAGGAGCCCCCGGCCTCTGCAACCAAGGCCGCCA